GAATTAGAGGATAGAAATATAGAAATGCTTCAGGTGGAGGAAGAGAGAAAACTAAGATTTTTTAAAAAATGAAGAAATTCTTTGAGAAATATCCAACTCAATTAGGAAAAGCAATCTAAGGATTACAGGTATTCCAGAAGAGAAAGGATGGAGTAAGGAGTAGAGAGCTTTTTCAGAAAACTAATAGCTGAGAACTTCCCAAACCTGGGCAAAGAACTGGACTTACAAGTACATGAAGCCAATAGAACGCCTAACTACATCAACGCAAAAACACCTTCTCCAAGGCATATAATAGTAAAACTAGCAAAAGTCAATGACAAAGAAAAAATATTAAGGGCAGCAAGACAGAAGAAAATAATCTACAAAGGAACTCCTCTGATGCTTTCAGTGGATTCCTCAGCAGAAACCTTACAACCTAGGAGAGAATGCAATGATGTACTCAAAATTCTGAAAGACAAAAACTTTCAGCCAAGAATACTCTATCCAGAAAAACTATCCTTCAGATATGATAGAGAAATAAAAGCTTTCCCAGATAAACAAATGCTGAAGGAGTTCATTGCCACTAGACCTCCCTTACAAGAAATGATGAAACAAAAACACAAAAGTTTACAAAGCTTTGAGCAACGAGACAAACAGACAGAAAAAAATCAGAAAATTGCAGCTCTATATCAGAATAAGTTAGCAAACACTTAATTATAACATATAAGATAAAGGGAAATAAAGCATCAAAAAAGCTATAAACACTTCAATTTAGCCACAAACACTACACAAAACAGAATAATTTGTGAAAACAATAATTCAGAAGGAGAAGAGGAAAGGAATGGAACCTGCTTAGGCTAATGGAGATAAGAGGATATCAGAAAATGAACTATCTCATCTACAAGATCTTTCATACAAACCTCACAGTAACCAATAAACAAAAAATCAGAGCAGAGCCACAATTCACTAAAAAAGAGAAAACTCAAAAAACCACCAAACTGAAAAGGCACTCAGAAATACAAAGCAAGAGAAACAATGTAAATATAGAACTGGAAAACAAGAGAAAAAAATGGCAGTATCAAGCCCTCATATATTAATAATCACCATAAATGTAAATGGATTGAATTCTCCAATCAAAAGGCACAGGTTGGCTGGACAGATTAAAAAAAAAGACCCAAGAATCAGCTCTAAAGACAAACATGGGCTCAGAGTGAAGAGATGGAAGACGATACTCCAAGCGAATGGCAAGCAAAAGAAAGTAGGTGTTGCCATACTTAGACAAACAGACTTCAAGATAAAAAAGGACAATGAGAGAAAAAGAGAGGCATTATATAATGATAAAAGGGACATTTCACCAGGAGGATATAACACTTATGAATATATATGAATTTAACAAAGGAGTAACAAAGTATATAAAGTAAGTACTAACAGAACTAAAAGGAGAAACTGACAGCAACACAACAATAGTAGGGAACTTCAACACTCCACTTGCATCAATGGATAGATCAGCCAGATAGAAAGTCAACAAGGAAACCACAACCTTAAGTGAAATAACAGACCAGATAGACTTAATAGGTATATATAGAACATTTCATCCAAAAACAGCAAAATACACATTCTTCTCAAGTGCATATGGAACATTCTCAAAGATAGACCATATGGTGGGAAACAGGGCAAGCCTCAATAAATTTAAGAAGATTTAAATCATATCAAGCACCTTCTAAGACCACAATGCTATGAAACTAGAAATCAACTACAATAAAAAAAACTGGGAAATCACGAATACGTGGACTAAACAACACGCTACTGAACAACCAATGGATCAATGAAGAAGTCAAAGGAGAAATCAAAAAGTACCTGTAAACAAATGAAAATGAAAACAAAACATACCAACTCTAATGGGATACAGCAAAAGTGGTACTAAGAGGAAAATTTATAGCCATTCAGGCCTACCTCAACAAACAAACAAAAATCTCAAGTAAGAAATCTTAATCTACACCTAACAGAACTAGGAAAAGAACAAAGCCCAAAGTCAGAAGAAGGAGAAAAATAAAAATTAGCACAGAAATAAATGAAATAGAGAAGTAAAAAACAGTAGAAAGGATCAATGAAACTAAGAACTGGTTCTCCAAGAAGATAAACAAAATTGACAAAACCTTAGCCTGACTCACTAAGAAAAGAGAGAAAAGGCTCAAATAGATAAAATTAGAAATGAAAGAGGAGAAATTACAATGGATACCACAGAAATACAAAGGTCTATAAGAGAATATGGTGAAAAACTATGTCAACAAATTGGAAAACCTAGAAGAAATGGATATATTCTTAGATTCATACAACCTTCCAAAACTGAATCAAGAAAAAATAGATAATCTGAATAGACCAGTCACAAGTAAAGAAATTAAAACAGTAATCAAAAACCCCCTAAAAAACAAAAGTCCTGGACCAGATGGTTTCTCTGGAGAATTCTACCAAACATTCAAAGAAGATTTAATATATATCCTTCCCAAACTATTCCAAAAAGTTGAAGAAGACGAAATGCTTCCTAACTCATTCTATGAGGCCAATATTACCCCCATACCAAAATCAGCAAGAACAACACAAAGAAGGAAAATTACAGGCCAATGTCACTGATGAACATAGATGCAAAAATCCTCAACAAAATATTGGCAAACCAAATACATTAAAAGGATCATACACCATGATCAAGTGGGATTTATACTGTGGACACAGGGATGGTTCAACATCTGCAAATCGATCAATGTGATAGACCACATTAACAAAATGAGAATCACATGATCATCTCAATAGATGCAGAGAAAGCATTTGACAAGATCCAACAGCCATTTATGATAAAAACTCTCAATAAAATGGGTATAGAAGGAAAGTAACTCAACATAAGAAAGGCCATATATGACAAATTCACAGCCAAAATCATATTTAATGGTGAAAAACTGAAAGCCATCTCTCTGAGAACAGGAACAAGACAAGGGTGCCCACTCTCACCACTCTTATTCAACATAGTACTGGAGATTTTGGCCAGAGCAATTAGGCAAGAAAAAGAAATCAAATGTATCCAAACTGGAAAGGAAGAAGTAAAACTCAGCTGTTCATGGACACCATGATTCTCCATATAGAAAACCCTAAAGAATCCATCAGAATTCTATAAGAAATAATCAACAACTACAGCAAAGTTGCAGAGTACAAAATCAACCTACAAAAATCAGTGGCATTTCTATACAATAATAGTGAACTAGCAGAAAGAGAAGTCAAGAATACAAACCCATTTACAATCACAACAAAAAGAATAAAATATCTAGGAATAAATTTAACCAAGAGATGAAAGAGCTGAAAACTATAAGATATCATGGAAATAAATCAAAGAAGACATAAAGAAACGAAAAAACATTCCTTGCTCACAGATTGGAAAAACAAACATAGTTAAAATGTCCACATTACCTACAGCAATCTGCAGATTCAATGCAATCCCAATCAGAATCCTAATGAATTTCTAGAACAGTGAATTCTAAAATTTATATGGAACAACAAAAGACCCCAAATAGCCAAAGCAATCCCGAGTAAAAAGAACAAAGCCAGAGGCATCCCAATCCCTGACTTCAAAATATACTACAAAGCTACAGCAATCAAAACAGCATGGTACTGGCACATAAACAGACACACAGATCAACAGAACAGAATTGAAAGCCCAGAAATAAAACCACACATCTATGGACAACTAATCTTCAACAGAGGAGCCAAAAACATACAATGGAGAAAGGAAAGTCTCTTCAATAAATGCTGTTGGGAAAACTGTAAAGCTACTTCCAAAAGAACAAAAGTAGACCATTATCTTATACCATCCACAAAAACTAACTCAAAATAGATTAAAGTCTTGAATGTAAGACCTGAAACTATAAAACTCCTAGAAGAAAATATAGGCAGGATACTCCGACATCAGTCTTAGCAGAATCTTTTCAGATATCACGTCTACTCAGGCAAGGGAAACAAAAGAAAAAATAAACACATGAGACTACACCAGACTAAAAAGCTTCTGCAAAACAAAGGAAACCATGAACAAAATGAAAAGACAACCCACCAACTTGGAGAAAATATTTGCAAATCGTCTATCTGACAAGGGGTTAGTTTCCAAAATATATAAAGAAATCAAACAACTCAACAACAAAAAAACAAACAACCTGATAAAAAAATGGGCAGAGGATCCAAAGAGATATTTTCCCAAAAAGATATACAGATGGCCAACAGGCACATGAAAAGATGTTCAACATCACTAATTATTATGGAAATGCAAATCAAAACTACAATGAGATATCACCTTACACCTGTCAGAATGGCTGCAATTAACAAGACAAAAAATAACAAATGTTGAAGAGGACATGGAGAAAAGGGAACCCTCATACACTGCTGGTGGGAATGTAAACTGGGCAGCCACCATGGAAAATAGTATGAAGATTTCTCAAAAGTTAAAAATAGAAATACCATACAATCCAGCTATCCCAGCACTGGGTATTTTTCCAAAGAACATGAAATCAACAATACATCGAGATTTATGCACCCTTATGTTCATTTCAGCATTATTCACAATAGACAAGATGTGGAAGCAACCCACGTGCCCATCGACTGATGAATGGACAAAGGAGATGTGGTATATATATATATATATATATATATATATATACACACACACACACACAATGGAATACTACTCAGCCATAAAAACAGACAAAATTGTCCCATTTGCAACAACCTGGATGGACCTGAGGATATTACATTAGGCAAAATAAGCCAGACAGAGAAAGACAAACACCATGTGATTTCACTCATTTGTGGAAGATAAACAAATACATGGATAAGGAGAACAGATTAGTGGTTGACCAGAGAGGGAAGCGAGTAGAGGGGAAGACGAAAGGAGTAAAGGGGCACATATTTATGGTGACGGATAAAAACTAAACTATTGGTGGGAGCACAATGCAGTCTATATTGAAACCGATATATAACAATGTACAGCTGAAATTACACAATATTACAAACTAATATGACCTCAATAAAACAATTTTTTAAAAAAGAAAGAAATAGCACAGGAAAGTTTATAGGAGGCATATTTTAGCAATTCTGAACTTCTCTCAGTTCCTGAAAAATTATTTTCTCTTTTAATTTGGAACTTTTCCAATTGCTACTCCCTCTACCTACAACACTTATCCATCCCCACCCAACTCCTGTTTTTACTGGGTTAACTTCTCTTCATCCCTTACTTCTCAGCTTAAATATCACTTTTACCAGCAAAACTTGCCAGACTCCCCAGAGATGCCCTTGCTAAGTACTCACATGCCTTGTACTTCACCTATGATGCTCATTTTCACACTATATCTTACTTACCCACTTACTTACCTATATCCCTCACTAGACAGTAAGTGCAATGAAGGCAGGACTCATGTCCATAGTTTATCATTGCATCTTAGGCACTTAACACAGTGCCTGACACTTTGTTGGTTCCTGTTTAATATGTGTTGAAAATTTTTTAAATGCTCTCAAATTTTAGCAACACTTCCAAGTTGCAGCTAAGCAAATATAGCTATTCTGAGCTTTGTAAATAATTTCATTGTTTTCTTTTTCAAATAAATATATAATATGCCAAGTTGTGTGCTATGGTCTCCATTATGGTTTTATATTTTTCAATGCCCACAGCCAAGAATCCATTTAGTAAATACTTAAAAATAAGCAATCAGACTTAGCTTCATTTTTCCCTTTGCCAAGGAAGTAAGCTCTAAAGACTTCCAAGAGCATCTCAATGATTTCTGCATTCTCAGATACCAAGGGAGCCACTTACTCCAGGTTTTAGTCAGAAAATGCAAGATGTAAAGGAAAGATGAATGGACCAAGAGGCAGACAAAAGTGCTGGCTCTGGTCCATCTCAGTCAAAACCTGGCTTCTGGTCTCAGCAACCTATGTAAACAGAAAACCGCTTAACTTCTCCAATTGCCTAATGTGCAGAGTGATAAGATTGAGTCAGGCAATTTCTAAGAGGAAAATTTTTCTGTTTTGTATGCCATTAAAACAGAAAGAATATGATCAATTCCAGAAAAAGTTCTTCAAGGACCTAGTTGCTGGAATCTGGATAAAAATAGAGAAACTAGGGCCATAAAAATGTACTAAGGAGGAAGAAATTCTGACCAGTGGGATCTCAGGCATAACAGAATGTGGAGGTTCACCTTGGTCCTCGCCAGAGCAATACACAGACTGAGGGGCGGGAGACCCCAATGGTGAGATCTGCCTACAAAGGGATGCTCACAAGCCTGGGTGGTTATTCTCATCCCCTAGTCATTTGATGCTAAGTTCTCTTCCATTCACGTGGGTCAAGTGTTAAAAGACTGTGTTTGCTCTGTTAAATTTAATCAAGGTTTAACAGATAAAAATTTGGACTCAAGAAAACCCCACTAATTAATGTTAGTTAACTGTACTGTTATTTAATGGGAATGCAATAAGTGCCTCAGGGCTCTAGAGTTCTCCTCCACCAATTACTTCTTCCAGGGCACAAAGCTGATTTCTGTGTGAAACCAGTAGATCTTAGCTTTTTTTTCACTTATTTTTCTTTATTTAAAAGGCAGTAATAGTCTCAAAATCTTTCTCTTCATCACATATTTGATCCCCTTGCAAAACTTTTGGTGTTTGAACTTGAACATGGAGCTTCTGATTTTCCTTCCTTTTCTTCAGAAGAGAGGGACTAAATAGTTGTAAAAGCCTTGTCCCAACATGGCACTGCCACTTTCCTAGGGTGACCCTATTTCTCTAACCAGTGTTTGCTAGTTTCCTCCTTCGATAAAATGAAAGAATAAAAAGGTTGTGTTTACCACTCAGAGCATTGGTGGAATTCAGAGCTAGTTAGTGAACACAACAGAGTAATGATGAGAAAGTTTTGTAGGTTTATAGACACATATTTGTATTCCCAGTTTTACTGAACCACTAGCGAATAAGTTAGTTAACTGTACTACTGTTTAATGGGAGGCAATAACTGCTGCAGGCCTACAGAGTTCTTAACCAATTACTTCTTTCAGTGCACAAAGCTGAAATCTGCGTGAAACCAGTAGATCTCAGCCTACAATGTATTATGCCAAGATTCTTTCCTCACTTTAGTTTGATTTTTTTGTGGGTTATTATAAAGCAAAACAAAAAAGAACATAAAGTGCAGTCTTTCTTGATGATTGCTTTGGACTGGCTTTTCCAGCAACCGTTACCACTAATCTTTTCCTGTTCAGTGATATTCCATGATAAATGTAAGGATTCTCATATGTAGATGGGAGTAGTGAAGTGAGTTAGGAGACAAAAATGGAGCATATGGGCCTCTCTTCAGAGAGCCATTACCTATCCTGGAGTACCCTTAGAGCCCAAAGCAACTTACTTGTTTGGAGGTAGTTCTGGAAGGACTGTCACTGTAGGAAGTTAGGAGATGTGATTTGGGAGGACACCTGAAAAATATCCCCTCATCAAAAATCTGATCTGCAAGCCCACCACAGGGACTAAAATCCTCCCATGATAGAGTTAAATCTTTGAGTTAAAAAACTTAATTTCTAGTGAAATTTCATAATTTGGTAACATTTAAATAGAAGTGGAAGATACATATATTTAGCCATTAATATAACAACATAAATGAGTATATCAGGTAAGATTCATTCACTTAGCAAAACTGTATTGATTAGGATATCGAATAATTAAGTTTGGAACAAGAGGAAGCTGAAAGGAGAAAACAAAACCAGCTCCAGAATAGGGCCTACTGAGAAGAGGAAATCAAGGTTTGACTATCTGAGAAGGGGAATATAGGAGCTAAAGTAGATAAAGATTATTAAAGAGGGGAAATGTCTACTTCCTAACTGAGGTAATGTTTGAAGAAATAGTCCTGGCCTTAAAGTAGCATTCAATGTATCTACTCATTCAACAATTTATTAAGTACCTAATATGTGCCAGGCATAGTGTTAGGCACTTGGAATACCAGAACTCATGAGAAACTCTTAATAGGGAGACAGTGGACAACTGCAGGAACAGAAGCACATGCAAAATATGGAGGTAGCCCAGAGGAGATTATCACCAAATCCATATGGAGCTTGAGTGAGGTGGGTGGGAAAGCCTTTTCTGAATGAAGTGACATCTGATCTGGGTAATTAAAAACAAAACAAACCCCATGTACAATGAAGAGCCCTCCAGGACTTGCTTTCAAAGAAGACTGGGTTAGAATTGATCTGCTACTGACCTCTACACGTGCTTCAGAAGCTTTCTGTCTACAGAGGTGAGAGGGAATGTGTAAGCAAGGAAGACACTGGAATCTCCAAAGGATCGGAGATCTCTGAAGCCTTTAAAAGAAAGAGAAAGAGAGAAATAAATTAAAAACAAAATCCAATGAAGTTTTACGATTCCAAAGTTACTAAATTAGAGTCCTGATATTACCACCAACGATAACATTCTTCTGTTTGGTGGGAAGGAATTTTCATGAGCTTTTTTTGTATAAAGATGGAGCAAAGTTATATCCTGGAATGCCCAATTTAATAAGAATGAGGAGATATATAGATATATATATATAGTAAAATGGTGACTATGAAGAAAGTTCTTCTTTAGAGTATTTGCTAGTATTCCCTAAAAAAAATGTACCTTTGCATCCAGGGCCTCCATCATTTACCTGTTTTTCTTTTTTCAAGACACTCTCCTCTAAACCAGTTGATGACTGTAGGTCCTAATTTATAAATAAGATAAAGAAAAATTTTAATAGTAGGGTAGCCTGAATTTAGGCATAAATGCTTTTTATTAATTATTATATTATGATTTGGCTAGTGATGTGATTTGAGAGGATTGGTTATTTTTGTACATGAATCTCTTAGCCCTTGAGCACCAGGCCACTCTCCAAAAGAGCCCTAATTATGCCTAGTTAGGATCACAAAATGATACCTGCTCTGATCCTCTCTCCAGGACAGCAAGAGATAACAAAATACGGGCTCACTTCTATTCTGTGGCTGTTGTTTCTGCTACAACCTGCTGATGGAACTGCTTCCTTTGCAAGAACTGATGAGAACCACCCTTCTCTCCTGCCATAGCTTCATCTCTGTCACCTGCACGTGGAGTGGTGAAAGTTTTGCCCCTCTTCTCCCTTTTTAGGTCTAAGGGTATATGTGGGAGGAAAGAAAAGGAGGGATAATTTTTTTTTACTTTACTAGTTCTCTCTGAAAGACCCAGTCATAAGAAGAGACTGTGCTCTTCATTTTACTTTGAGAACTGAGAAACAATTTTTTTTGCCCAAAACAAATATTTAAGGGAAAAAAAGAAGACTATATGTTAACTGATTTGTTTGTTTGTTTGTTTGTTTCCTTTGTCTTGTCTGCCAACCTCACATGAAGACCCTGGAACATGGTGGGGCAAATGGGAAAAGGGCATATGAAACAGCTAAGTCCATCTGATGCAAAATGGCAGCAGAACAGGCTGAAAAGAGATAACCAATGGGTAGCCCTCTGAAGGCAGTAGTTAATGGATCCGGTACAATCCTGTCTCATACTAGTTATAAGTTAGAACCTGTTCTCACCTATATGTTATAGGTAAGAGTGTTTTTTCCCTACTCTTGACACTTTCTTCTGTGATGTAGGAGGTGAAATAGTGTGACATTTCTGGCCTTTTGCTGTCTCTACTCACAGAGACACAGATAGAGTGACTTCCCTGAAATAGGTAGGTTTACAAAGAATAAACCAGAATGCTTAGCACTTCTCCGACTTGTCCTCCACTGGAAGAGCTCCTTCATGACAAAAGTTCAACTTGGTCAGGCTTCCATGGGGGATGCCAGGCCTGATAACACTCAATCTGTTAGTAGTGGGAAATTCTGCTCAATTCTGTGGGTCTGTTAACAGGCCCATGACCTCCACCTTAACCTTTATTTTTGCCTCCATCTGAGACTCCTTTATCTTATTTCTCAGTTTATTTATAACCTGGGTGGGGAATAAGGTGCTATTTCTTGGCCCCCCTCAAAGACCCAAGTCTCCAGTGAAGTCTGTTAAATACAACAGTCTTGAGTAAACTGTGCCCTAGGAAGTAAATGTGTCTATTTGGGAAGAGAAGTGGTCCAGAGAAAACTGTAGAAGTATAGACAAAGGATATTAGATGACCTGAGGTGATCTCTTAGAGAACCAATGCAACCGTGCAATAGAAGAAATGCCTGGTAACAGGGAAAATAATAAACTCTCCACAGGAATTGTCTGAAGTACTTGGGGAAGAAACAGAAGTTCTGCAACATGGATTCAGATATTGTATGAAAGGTGACCTTATAAAATTGTAGAATTTGGGAATGACCTGGACCAAATGTGTGCCTCTCTTTCCTCAGGCATCAGTCTCCGGGAAAAATGAGTGTATACCAGTTATTCGTCTATTGCCTCTTAGTTCCAAACACCCCCACTTCCTTCTCTACTTTAAGATCCTAAAGCCAGGACTCTAAAAACTATGTCTCTTTTGCCAGCTGGCCAATAGGGGGCGCTAAGGGGGCTGGAACTCTAGAAGACGAAGTGACAGTTTTTCTTCCGCTTTTTTTCTGCTTAGACGTGGCAGGGAGGAGACTGGGATAATCTTGGGGCACAGCAACTGCCACAGAGTTCTCTGCAGCATTCACTACCTCTAGGCCAGTCTCAGGGTCCTGTGAGGAGGCACCAGGGTACTTCACTCCAGGGGCAAACCGTGTATTCTTGGGGCAGCTATGCCCTCGCCGCTAAGGTCTAATCTCAGTCTTAAGGAGGTCTTCCTCTAAATTCCTAAATTCCTTCCTGGTCCACTTACCCCACAGTCACAGAGAGGGTAGCTGTCTTCTGCAATTGCTACCTCTGTTGCACCTTCAAGTTTTCTTTTACCCTTTACCACCTTTTGCCTAAGTAATAATTATTTATATTAAAGTGCCCTGTTCAAAATATCAATTTGATTTCTGTCTTCTGACTGGACCTTGACTGATAAAAAGTCACATTTATAGTAACAGTTTCAATTTTCTAGCAACTCTTCTCAATCTATTAATTCAGATTCCATTCATTAATGCAGGAGATGGAGAAGCTGCATTCCCTCTGCCAAAACAAGACCAGGAGCAGATTGTGGTGCTGACCACAAACTGTTAATATCAAATATCAGAGTAAAGTTGAAGAAGAGCACTAAAAGAACTGTAGTGCCAAAATATAACATAAACAAAATTCCCAATGAATATAAAGTTCACGTAAAAAGCAGATTTGTATTGTTAAATTTAATTGACCAAGAACCAGAAGAACTATGAACTGAAACCCAGAAATATTAAGGAAGAATGTGAAAGACAACGCCTGAAGTAAAAAGAAAAGAAAAATTGAGATGGATGACAGAAGAAACACCAAAAATTGCTAAGGACAGATGAAAAGCAAAAGTAAAAAGTGACAAAAGTAAGGTTAGAATTCTGAACACAGTTTTTCCACAACTATCATGTAGAGATAAAGAGAACCACTATAATAGCCAATCAAAGAGATAAAAGAAAACAATGAAAAAGAAGGAACAAGAAGTTTCTTTCAGAAGATTTAAGAAATCAAAGGGAAATTTTAACTTAGATTAGGAATGCTGGACGACCAAGAGAGAAGCACACTATCTGATCTGATAGAGAAAATAAAGGGAAGGGGGAAACAGCATTCTGAAGATCTATACAGAAGAGACAAAAGGATGACATTGCTTTGAAGAAGATTCCTATGAGGAAGACCCACAATTCTAGAAAGTGAAACGAAAGCTGCCCTGAAAATACTGGGAAGAAATAAGTTATCAGGAGTAGATGGGGTATTGAAAGAATTATTTGAAGCCACAGAGACTGAATTTGTCAAAATCCTAACAAGAATATGCCAATAAATATGAAAAACAAAACAATGGCCTACAGACTAGAAATGTTCAATATACATCCCAATTCTTAAGAAAGGAGATGCCAAGGAGTGCAGTAACTATAGGACCATTGCTCTGATTTCCCATGCTAAGTAAAGAGATGCTCAAGATGCTGCAACACAGGGTTTTACCTTATGTCGACGAAAATAATCCATAACCAATCTGTAAATGAAAATTTGGGTGAGTTTATTCTGAGCTGAAATCTGAGGACCATGGCCCGGGGCCTTTCTTCCCAAAGGAAGAAAGGGCACCGAAGAAGTGGGGTGTACAGAGTGGTTATATACCCCCAAACAGGGTGTTTCACATATGATTGAAATGTCCCTCCCACAACAGTCACAAGATTGCCCTGTCGGCACAGCACTTGATGGACACAGCAGGTAGTGGGTCTGCTATCTTGGTGGGCATAGCAGGAGGCAAGTCTATTGTCTGGAGCTGGGCGGTCACAGGTGAGTGCAGCAATCAGTTCCTAGCCTAAGGAAAGATGCTTAATCCTTAAGGAGACTCCAAGATTGGGAGGGGCAGGGAAATTGCACCTTTACCTCAAGGGCCTTTGTTCTTGCCATAGGGAAAATCTAAAGCAGATATACAATGCATGCTCAACGGCCACAGGCCCTTTTGGAAAGACAAGGTCAAGCCAAACTAGGTTTATACCAAATGGCTTCCTCATATTCTCCAATATATCCTATTGCTTGCCATTTTTATTTGTCACTTATATGGAGCAAGAAAAGCCTGATGTCCAGGGTGGATTTCAAAACGGGAGAGGCTCACAAGATCTAATTGTGATTATTCATTGGCTACTGGAGTGCTCCAAAGAATTTCAGAAGAAAGTTAGCCTGTTTTATAGACTACAGCAAAGCCTTTGACTGCGTGGATCATGAAAAGCTCCGGGCTGCTCCCAAAGAAATGGGCGGACCTCAGCACTTGATTGTCTTGATGCGTAACCTGCGATGTGGACAAGAAGCCACTGTCAGGACAGAATATGCAGAGACAGACTGGTTTCCTCCAGCCAAAGGTGTCAGACAAGCATGCATTTTATCTCTCTATCTCTTTAATCTGTACGTAGAACATATCACACAAAAAACTGAGCTAGACTCAGAAGAAGGAGGAGTCAAAACTGGTGAAAGAAATATCAACAATCTAAGATATGCAGATGACACCATCCTACTAGCAGAAAGCAGCAATGACTTGAAATAGTTTCTGACAAAAGTGAAAGATGAAAGTGCCAAAGCAGGACCGCATTTGAACATCAAGAAGACAAAAATCAGGACCACAGAACTACACAGCTTTAACATGGACTATGAAGACATTGAAATTGTTAAAGATTTTGTTTTCCTTGGTTCAGTCATCAACTTAAATGGATACTGCAGCCAAGAAATCAAGAGAAGATGGAGACTTGGAAGGCAGCAATGAAGGAATTAGGAAAGATCATCAAGTGTAAGGAAGTGTCATT